GATTTATTAACACAATATTATGTAACTATATAAAAAAACGTGGCGTCATTTCGATATTTTCAAATAATCAGCAATTACCTTTTTTTTGTAGATTAAGGGTAATAAACGAGCACACAGTCAATCTGTGATGCTGATGGTAAGTAGTTGCTGTGGCCTATAGACATCTACATCTATCCTCGATTACGAATTAAAACGTGCGTTGTCACCCGTGAGGACTAAAATGAACTGCCTCGTTTCCGGTAAAAAAGGGATAAGGGATAAGGATCTCTACACTCATCATACGAAACACAGCAGTAATAAACTGTTATTTTACGCTGGCATCCTGTGTGAGCGAGATCCTACCTCGGTCGAGCCGACCCATTCGTGCTACAACCATAATATAAATGCAGCGTAGCTCTACCACGTATTTAATTTATTAAAATTTATATACAATTGACGAAGATATCGTGTAATACATGATATGGAGTAGTACATTCTCTGAAGCCACAACATGGCCTATAGTCTGTACATGTGTGTCTGCAATCGTTCACTAAGGATTTCCGGTCGATCAACAACAGCAATACTGCAAACTTGCATTGCAAGTAGAAAACACGACATAGCGTACCCTCTGTGCGGCGGGAATCGAACCGAGCTTAGTGCATCGTCGCGTAAAATTTTCACGATTAATCACTACGCAGTCAGTCAGCCGATATGTGCCGTATTTATAGTGCCAGATTAGACAAACCCGTGTGTGATTTGTCGATTTTTTAGGAATCCGCTATGTAGGCAACCATTTTCCATAATTTCGTCCTATTTGTATGTCTTAATGTATCACATAAAAGGTTGAATAAAACTAAATTTACGGATTTTATCGCGTTTATTTCACTACTTTTACTCATTTTTAATACCCGACGTTTCGAAATTTAAGAAATCACAATACATAAAAGGTTACGATTATATTATTAAAGGTGGGTCTACGCTAGAGGAGCCGAGCACGAGCTGAGCACAAGCTGAGCCGCTCCACTCGCGGTGTCAAGTGTGGACGTACAACGAGCTTACAACATGCAAATCGATGCAAATACCTTTGTGTTCGTCAAAAAACCGACAATAGGCGCCTATTTTCGGTTCTTTGACGAACACAAAGGGATTTGCATCGCGCTCGCAGTGCGCTTGTGATGTGTTGAGTGATCATGGAAACTTAAACAGAAGATGATTGTTTGCAATTAATTGAAATATATCAAAATAATACAACGATATGGGATTTAAAACATGAGAATTACTATAAAAAAATAAGAAGATTGATGCATGGTCCCGTATATCCCAAGACTCATCCAGAGTCCGCCACGAGCCGCGAGCACACTGCTGGCGATAGAGGGAAACTGAACCAGGAGATGGGCAGCAGCATCTTAGTGATAACAACATAAGAAAATAAAAAAACTACGGTTGCGAACCTATCAGCAAAGCGTGGCAACTATGACAAATATCCCGCCTATGAGGTAATCTATGGGGAAGACCTAAGTAAATAGTGTACTTTTAATAGGCTGTAATGATGATACCTATAAGTGTTATAATAGACGTAACAAAAAGTGTAAAATTTTTTAGATGAATTACCACGATTAGCAGGCGGATTTATGTATCTACCGGATCGGACATGTACCCCGAGCATCTTTGTCGGTACTCCCCGTAGCCAGTCTAAATATTTTACGTCTGGCGAAAACGAGGTGGTTATAGTTTTATCAATTCCTACATTCGCCTATCACGGCAACTAAATGGAACGGTAGATTCTTTTACGCCATTAACATTAATAAAAATAATAAGTTGCGAGACTGGACTATGGATACGTCCCACCTAACCCTCCAATAATCACTCTCTCCGGTCGACAATATTTGTTACATCCCCGTTTGAATCCGTCGCACCCCACAACACGACACGGCTACGCTTCCTCTCTCGCTCAATACTAATCCCGTTAGCGAGATAAGGACAAACGTGAAATATTCTTTTCCTTTACGTTTCACTGGCGTGGAAAATTGTCGTAATACGCGTGATTTTATTGTGATATTATAAGCCAGTGGATGCCGATCGCATAAATAAAGAAAACGCAATAAACGAAAGTTTTTCTCTTAATAATAACGCGGAGCTCGTCTAGTTGACATAGCTAAGGCAGAACTATTATATATTATTGTAAGTTGTCAACTTACTGCGCACAATAGTACAACAGTGCCGAGTAAGAAATTAGTCTCGAAATCATTTTAATATTTAATCAATATAACGTGGAAGAGCCATGCTGCAGCCATATTATGGTTGATGCACCACGCTCTCGCAGAATATCAGTTAACTTTACCAGCGTAAAGTATCAATTTAATGCTGCTGTGTTTCGTATGGTGTGTAGAGAACCAGCGGCCCCTTCGACTGAAAACGAGGCATTTCATCGTAGTTCTCAGAGGGCGACAACGCATCTGCATTTTGAATTTTAATCGAGGATAAATGTAGAATTTTTCTATGGGCCTTAGCAGCCACTTACCATCAACATTAACCACATTATCAACAAAGCCTTTCAGCTTTACGGTTTTGTTATGAGAACTTGTAAGCCATTTAAAAAGTCTGGCCCTTATCTACTGCTCTATCTCTTATAAGACCCCAATTGGAGTATGCCACACAAGTTTGGAATCCCTTCTACCAAAAAATCTTGATTTACTAGAATCGGTTTAAGCTAAATTTCTACGCTCATTACAGATGTTACTGTTCTTGGCCCTCTTATTTGATAACCTCTTGCGTATTATTTAACAACTTTAAGTAATAGGCGATTACTACTTGATTGTACTTTTCTTTACAAAATTTGTCGTAACTTTTTCGATTGCTCTCAATTTGTCAGCTGTGTATACCTTGTGTCCAAGTGCCCACAAACAACGTGCATCGCTTGTTTTTTCTTAATCTGTGCAAAACAAATGCGGGCAAGCGTGCGCCTTTGCGTCGTATAATGGAACAGTATAACAGTTTCTCCGATATAGACTTATTTACAATGTCCCTACCTCAATTTAGAAAAACTATAAAACTTGTATTAAATGACTTGTAATTTTTATTTTTAACTTTATTACTGTTTTCTCATAGTCTTATAACGTTAATCTAATTTTTTTTTCTATGTAATACATGTGTAATATTCACGATTTTGCAGTTAACATCTCGCACACCTAGATCAAAACTGAGACAACTCAAAAAAGGTCATTTTTCAGGAGACGAAGAAAACGCGTTACTGCATTTTTGTTAGGGAAGTTAGAAAACTTAATATTGTTTTACATTATAAATACGTATGAAAATATCACCGTGTGTAAATTGGGGCTAAAAATCGAGCCTTTTTACCGATAATCAGTATTTTTTGAGTTGTTACAATTTAGGGTGGTGACTTTGTTTACAAGTAAGACACATTTAGACTTGAAGCAGTTTTATTGAACCATTTTGAGTTGAACTTATATTAGAACAAAAATTAAGGTAACGATTCTTCAAACAAAACTAATTTAAAAGAGTAATAAAATTAAAAATATACATTACAAATAAAACAACATAAACTAAAACACAAAAATTATGCAACAATGTATTGTATAATTAAGGGAATGATTTTGTTATTACACTATGGTATTTAAGAACCAAAAAAATATCTTCAAAATTAAATTGGGACCAAGGCTCTCATGTTATTTGAAGCTAATAATAAATTACAAAGTATGTCTCAAAATATTAAAATTTACAGGAAGTAACAAAGAAGGTAAACATTCCAAAATAACATAGTTTTTTTCATGTAATTAAATGATAAGATTTATAATCTTGTTTATAAAAAAATAAGAATAGAATCATCTTAGAAATTTTAATTATTAATTAGTATCAAACTCTTACAATTTGGTATTTTTGAGATCAACAATTAAAATTACGTGGATATCACTCTGCCCACCTTTAAAAACACCAGTCTCTTATTACTACATAACCTAAATAACAAAATAATAAAACGTCTTATAAAATCAAAATAAAATATTAAATTCTTATAGATATGAACTTAAAAGGTATATCCAGGTTTAAAAATTAAGCACTCAATTAACAAAAGCAATTAGTTATTATTACCAACTACATTTTTAAAATATGAATCTATATAAACCTGTGGGATTGTGTGTGTTTTTTATTAGATCTTTAATGTCTTTCATCTTTGCCTCAGATAAAAATACCACTCTATTTTATGAGTGTAGGCTTGTGTAAGCCCTGTAAATCCTATCTGATCATCTTTGTTTCGGCGTTTGCGCACAAACACCTTTTTATAATTTTCATCTGCAAATGACGTTTTATAGAAAGGTCTCGAACTGCTCGTTTTATAGAAAGGTCGCGAATGCTCCCGGGTTCTCCTTTTCCACCCTTAAGATTTTAATGTCGTGCCATTTAACTTGATTACGGTCTTCATCTAAATTGAAATTGGTACCCCACTCTTCTTGCAAGATTTTAGTATCGTAGAACTGTTCAAACGTCATCTCTTCCACTAGGTAGGGACTGCCCGTTTTTTTAGCTGTACGTATCAAAGTGCAATATTGTTGTGGGGTGTATATCGGATCAGATTTAATGTGCCTTTTTATTTGTCTTTCTATGACGCTGTGAACATTGTCACCCTCATTTTGAGAATGACCACGTATAAGAAACTTGTGCGTTATCGACGCAACTCGTTTAGTGACAACAGCATAAGCATAAGCAGAAAGTAAATTTTTTTTTCTGCCCACAGCAATTGTCGGAATAGAAGACAATATCGATGTCTTTCAGGATTTTAATCTTAATAAAGTGTCAATATACTTTAGAACACATAAGCCTATTTCTACAGCGCCCCTTTTTCCCCTTCGGTATCATCCCAGAAGTAGCATATTACATCTTTTGCCGACAGATCACTTATTGTGAAATTTAAACAATTAATTCTGGATTTGTAGAAAAACAAGGAAACTTGACCATTTGGAACCTGCATAACAGCTTGTAAATCATATACTGCTACAATTACTCCGTCATTTCTGTTCTTGTCTTTTTCTTTGTACACTCTTGCTAGTATTTTTTTTTTCTAAAAGATGTTGTTTATAACTCTCTTGTATTTCAAATCTCTCTTCTTCATTAGCGTTTTTAAAACTCTCACAGAGGTCGCAAAGATCTTTTTTCGGAACAAAAAAAGAAATATTAAACTCATTAAATATCCTGTTAAATGTTGACTTTGTAGCGAAAGGTAACTGTTTGTTTTCAAAAGCTTCTTCATAATCACGATATAAGTCAGCAAGAGATTTGTCACTGCAAATAAACTGCCGTGATGTCTGCGCTCTCAGGTAATGAGACTCAATCCTTGGTATACTATTTATGAACTCCGTAACACTGACTTTAATTTCATTATCAATTTTGGGTTGCTTTCCGTGTTTCCCTCTAAAATCATTGGCCACAATACCGGAGCATTTTTTTGTGAGTGCGGTATTAATAGCCGTGTTACTTAAATCTAATGTACCCTTAAAAAAAGCCAGCAACTTCAAAATAAAATGCTTTATTAAGACTTCTATATTCTTGTGTGCTAGAATACCTGTATTTTGGTTTAATTTCTTGAGTATGCCTGATAATATACTCCCTCTGCCTCTGAAGATCACCGAGGCCCCAATAAGCGTCAAAAATATTTTGTCGTGTTTCTTCGTTTATCTTCAAATTACAACGTAATCTGCATTTTTCGCCGCTAGTCGTGCGAACCTTCCTTTCACGAACAAGTATCTTTGTTTTTGATAAAGACTAATAGGCCTTACCAGAATTCCTCAGAACTTTACAAATATTTACTTTCCATGTCAATTCCTTTCTTAGCCTCTTCTTTCCTTTTATTGCTTCTTCATTAGGCTGGTTATTGCAATCTTCGTTGGGCTGATCATTGCAATCTTCATTAGGCTGTCCATTGCGATCTTCATCGGGCTGATCATTGTTATTTTTACTGGGATGACCATTGCGACCTTCATTAACAATATTTTGATTTTGAGTCCGTGTAACAGCATCGATAATATCCCTGGTTTCTGTTTCAGAATCAGAACTACTGTTAGAACAAGTACTAGAATTTGAAGTGCTAAATGAGCTAGTATCACTTGAAGAAGACAAAGATGAATTAAGAATTACTTTCGCGGGCAGTTTCTTCTTTTTTTGACGGACATAGCTCGGATCAGTATCAGAATCATCTATGAGACTTTGATCACTTGACGACATGTAAAGATCATTTACAATTTGCTGCATATTGCATGGTTTGGTCAGTAAGGCAGTATCTATTGGCGTGTGCTCTTTGCTCTTCTGTTGTTCAAAGTTCGAAGATGTGGCCGTCTCTCCTTCATTGACTATTAGTGAGTTTTCTTCATACCTTTCTAAATTTGGAATTGCGTTAGGCGTCAGTTTTTTGTCTTTTTGTCGAACACAATCTGCAGTATTAGAATCATCTATTAGACCCTTATCACTTTGTATGTCAAGATTTTTTTCATTTTGTTGGTTAATACATGGTTTTGTTAGCAAGGCAGTGTTTATTGACCTACTTTCTTTATTATTTTGAGCTTCTACATTTATAAACTTTGCCGACTGTTGTTCATTCATTGTTGATAGGTTCTCTTGATATCTTTGTTTTATAATATTAACAAGAATACGGCCTCGCTTCATGTTTTTCTGAAACAAAAAAGTTTATTGTATTACTTTTATACATAGCCACAAAAAGTAAGTTAACTCAAACAAAATCTTTTAAAACAATGTGGCACATAGATTGATTAACAACGGTATACTTTTAAAACGGTCAGTATAAAATCATACAAGATTTTTTAAGTAAAACATGTAAAATGACAGGTTTAGTGTAAAAAAACATGAAAATAAATTTGTTTCAACAATAGTAGGTTAACTAGAAATTAACATGTTGATTCATCTAAACAAAGTCAAGTCAAAATAGTTACAAAATTATTACGTACCTGGTCAAACAAAACTGGAACAAGTCGAAATATCTCTAAGTAATGTAGCAGAACTATTCATCAAAACTGTAACAACTCAAATCGCCTCACGTACTCTTTTCATCCGTGCCGTGTAGTGGCGGTTGAGAATATCCACTATCGCATATCTTCCCGTGGGTGTCGTAAGAGGCGACAGAGGGAGACAGGCAGGAGATGGGCAGCAGCATCTTCCTGATAACAACTGCGATATAATAAGAAACTGCGGTTACCAACCCGCTCGCCAAGCGTGGCAACTATGGCAAATATCCCCCCATGAATAACGACGCAAACAGACGGCCCCCAGTCCCCGGCGGACCCGCTATTCCTGGCTACGGTGGCGACCATGGTAACGGCGGGGCAGGGGGTGCTAAGAATCTCCGGTGGAGGTTCGGTTGCTACCCACGACGACTCGACCTGGCAACATATAACGCACGCACCCTGAGGACTGACGGCAAGATAATGGAGCAGGAACAAGAGGAAGACAAGTAGCGCTGGCATATTATTGGATTATCCGAGGTCCGAAGAGAGGGGGAGGACACGGTAATCCTCGAGTCCGGCAACTTGTTCTATCACCGGGAGCACGCAAAGTCCACAAGTCTCTCGTCAACAACGTTGTAAAGATTGGGAGTGTGTCGACGAGGGTCCCGTACCTGATACTCAGAATCACCAAACGGTATTCGCTGAAGGTCATACAGGTTTACGCACCAACCTCGGCACATCCCGATGAGGAAATGTATGAGGATATTTCCAGAGCCATGCATTCCTCCAAAACCCACTACACGGTGTTGATGGGAGACTTCAACGCAAAACTAGGCACAAGAGAAAGCGTTGAGCTGAAGGTGGGGAAATTTGGAGTAGGGCAACGGAACCGAAGGGGCCAGCAGCTGGCTGACTTTATGGAGAAAGAGGGACTCTTTATGATCAACTCTTTCTTCCAGAACCGACCCACAGGAAGTCGACCTGGTCGAGACCCGACGGATCGACAAAAAATGAGATTGACTTCATTATGACGACCAGACGCCAACTGTTCAGTGATGTCTCAGTGATCGCAAGGGTGAGAACTGGCAGCGATCACCGAATGGTTAGAGGCACACTGAACCTAAACGTTAAGTTGGAGAGGTCTCGTCCAATGAAGTCAACGCTCCGTCCCCCTCGTGCTCTAATCCAGAATCCCGAAACCTTTCAGCTCGAGTTACGTAACCGCTTTCAGTGCCTAGAATTTTGCAATGCAGTGGACGATATGAATGACAAGCTCGTGGAAACTGTCCATGCGGTCGGAGCTAACTTCAGCAAGACCCGCCGCAGAAGAACACAAAAACTCTCCGATCACACTCTTAATCTCATGGCTGTTAGACGGGAGATGAGGCTGCAATCGTCAACAGATTTGACAGCATACAGGCAACTGAACAGACAGATCTCCAAATGCATGCGGCGAGACTTGCGCAACTTTAATACTGCTCGTATTAAAGAAGCGATCGAGCGGAACCAGGGCTCCAAAGTCTTTGCCAGAGATCTGCCTGCCAGAAAGAGCCAACTATCAAAACTGATGACTGAGTGTGGCAGCATCGTTACCGGGACAACTGAGATTCTGACTCCGACACTGTTCCGATGATATCACGGACGTCAGTCTGAGCGAGATTAGAATGGCTCTCCACCACCTTAAAAACGGCAAGGCCCCGGGCGAGGATGGAATTACAGCGGAGCTTCTGAAAGAGGGTGGAACACCGGTACTTGAAGTCCTTCAGAAGCTCTTCAATTCCGTCCTCCATGGTGGCACTACTCCGGAGGCGTGGAGCAGAAGCGCGGTGGTCTTGTTCTTTAAGAAAGGCAACAACGCTCTCTTGAAGAACTACAGACCGATTACCCTCCTGAGCCGCGTCTACATGCTATTTTCGAAAGTCATTACGAATCGTCTCGAACGCAGACTCGACGACTTCCAGCCTCCCGAACAAGCCGGTTTCCGAAAAGGCTTCAGTACCATAGACCACATACATACCCTGCGGCAGATTGTACAGAAGACAGAAGAGTACAATCTGCCACTTTGCCTGGCATATGTGGACTATGAGAAAGCCTTTGATTCCGTCGAAATTTGGGGGGTGCTACAGTCCCTTCAGCGGTGCCAAGTTGACTGTCGGTATATCGAAAAGTGCTGAAGTGTTTGTACAGTAGGGCTACGATGGGTATCCAAGAACAACACGAACAAGAACTAGAGTTCGAAACCCATCCAACTGCAGAGAGGTGTAAGACAGGATGATGTTATATCCCCGAAACTCTTCACCGCTGCGTTGGAGGACGTTTTCAAGCTACTGGACTGGAAAGGATACGGTATTAACATCAATGGTGAGTACATCACTCACCTTCGATTTGCCGACGATATACTTCTTATGGCAGAATCGCTGGAGGACCTTAGCACTATGCTCAACGACCTCAATGGTGTCTTCCAACGGATAGGTCTTAAGAGGAACATGGACAAAACAAAGATCATGTTTAATGTCCATGTCACACCTATGACGAGTACGTTTACCTGGGACAAATAGTCCGACTAGGTAAGTCCAACTTCGACCGAGAGGTCATTCGACGGATTCAACTCGGCTGGGCAGCGTTCGGGAAATTACGACACATCTTCTCGTCAGGTATACCTCAATCTCTGAAAACTAAAGTGTATAAACAGTGCATGTTGCCAGTGATGACTTACGGATCTGAGACGTGGTCCTTCACTGCTGGCCGTATGAGGACGCTCAAGGTCGCTCAGCGAGCTATGGAGAGGGCTATGCTCGGAGTTTCTCTGCGTGATAGACTCAGAAATGAGGATATCCGCAGTAAAACCAGAGTGACCGACATAGCCCAACGGATTAGTAAGCTGAAGTGGCAATGGCCGGCCATATAGCTCGAAGAACCGATAACCGATGGGGAAGAAAGGTTCTCGAGTGGCAGCCTCGTACCGGTAGGCGTAGTGTAGGGCGACCCCCCACTAGATGGAGTGACGACCTGGTAGGACATGCAGGAAGTCGATGGATACAGGTGGCTCAGGACCGTGCTTTGTGGCGTTACTTGAGGGAAGCCTATGTTCAGCAGTGGACTTGTGAAGGGCTGTAATGATGATGATAAATGATGATGACTCTTTTCATCAAAACTGTAACAAAACGAAATATCCGTGTTTTCGTTCAGGTTAATACATGCACTCTCTAAGACTAGCGAAGGTCAATTGACAATACATTTGTTTAGGCGGGAGGGGGTAACATGCGTCGATTCAACAAAAGTGTCGCCATCTAGCGACTTTTCCTTCAAGGTTTTCTTGTACCTGTTATGTTGGATAATTGCATGGGTTCACCCAGCGTTCGAGTATAAAGATAACTCCAAATTCGCGTTATTCAAGTTGACTCAGTTTTGATCTGGGTGTGCGATCTAAGTATGCATTGTTTCCTCTAGTTTTTAGTTTTTTTTTTTAGTTATTTTATTTTATATTTGTGTTCTCTGTGCCTTATAACTTTAATTAGTACGGTAATTTTGTGGATAAAGGTGTTGGTTGTGTAGTTAGTTTATCTATTTACGTAAGATTTGAATTGTAATTTTTTATTATACAACTGTTTGTTGTCCATAATAAAAAAAAACTGGACTATATGCTCATTTGTCACCCTTATTCTCTAAAATGAAAATTTTTCCTCTTATTAATAACGTTCATTTTTCAACATTTCATTGAAAAGAATAGTTCTCCGCAATCAGTCTGACATTATAAATAATAATGTCCCCCAGATAGAATTTCGGTTACGGCGGCCAACCTCAACGTCTCAAGACTAGCCATCTGCGCAAGACGGGATTATAGTGTTCAAGCGTATGCGCAAGCACAGGTGTGCTCTCTATTCCCTCACTCTCATATTTAGATGGGATGGTAACCCGTAACGACGACTGGAGAGATCAGGCGCAGAACCCATGAGTACAGCTTTATACGATAGTGACCACCACTAATATCACTCAACTAATATTTATAACTAATATTTTCTTCGGCCTGATTCGAACCTGGGAGCTCATTATCAGCAGTTGTATCTACGACCAACCAAAGATGCATTCAGGTGGATTATTATAGATCGTTAGTCAATAACAATGTTAAAAAAGGAATAAATATAATATGAAATTTCAAACTCATCATGGGATACCTTTGCTTAGTCAGCACAAACATAGGTCAACCGGCGTCTGCGAGGGTCACCACTGTATGTTTGTCCTTTGCAAATAATGGATGCACGCAGCTTTTTAGGGTTACATTTATTTGCCATGGATTCAATTTGATTGAGGGTTCCGGGCAGCGCCGTTTGTTTATAGATTTACGGTCGGATTACTTTATTAAATTATTTATTCGGTACTTACTTATTTTTTTAATTATACAACTTATCAATTACAATAATTACTGCAGAAGTTTTACCTACATAAAATATATCTCTATATATAAAAATCAATTGCTTACCGTTAGTCTCGCTAAAACTCATAAACGGCTCGAACGATTTCAAGGAAACTATGTGTGTGTTTGAATGGGTCCCTAGGTGGTTTAGATTCACTTTTGGACCCAGTAGGTGGCACTGTTGCCAAGATCTGAAAATCACCCGTGCGTAGCCAGGTCCAATCGCTATTATACAATAATAATGTAATTTTTTTACGTGGTAGAGCCACGCAGCCTCTTTATAATGATTC